ATAACATACTAATAATAACTCTGATGGCGTACGGTATGGGAAATATTTTATTCATTGAATGATCAACTATATTTGGCAACTAATGCAGTTAATATCATTATTGGTTTTTTTTTACACTTATTACTCTTTAAACAATGCTAAATGCTCAAAATATGTGTATTTAACCCAATTAATCGCAGTTAGATGAATTAACGTAAGCCTTGAAAGTAACCGTTGATTTCGACGGGTTTCACCTAGTATTAAATAATGCACGAATATTAGAACAGAGAGGGTAAGGATTATAAATTTAAAATAATGATGTTACTAGCCCGAATGTAAACATTATTTTACATTACTTAAATGTAGCTGTCAAACCATATGTTAATGTAATTTCATTAGTATATGATTGTTACTTATTACTTAGTTATTTCATTTGTTTATGTTTATGATCTACTAGCTGTACCCGCGGGCTTTGCCCCGTTTAACTTCACAAGTGAGCTCGTTCGCATGTCTCAATCACGTCCTGGTTGAAGTACGTTCGCTACGCTCACTCACCTGTAGGTTGGAGCTCGTTCGCTCCGCTCACTTGCCTTCAGGTTAGCTGGTTCGCTGCGCTAACTCGCTTCCAGGTTGAAGTTCGTTCGCTACGCTCACTCACCTTTTGGTTGCAAATTAAATGAATGATTAAATGAATTTATTTATTTCCATTGAGAACTAACTTATTACAGTAGAGTCCCGCAAACTCGGGTCTCGATAACCCGGAAGTCTGGATAACTTGGCCATCACCTGGCTCAGAAAATTAGTGATTTTTTGAGTCAGAGTTAATCATGGACTCAAGCCAGCTCAAGTCAAATTATTCGCAACTGGTACTAAGGATTTGTTGTACTATATCTGATATAGTCTTTTTCTAAGTTCACGTCGCACTCGCAATTAGTTCGCATGTTTTATCTAGGAAAGCAGGTATGCCCTAAGTCATAGCATTTGTAGGTTAAGTATTATAATAACAAACATGCTTATCGTAGGTTTGTAGGCACACTTGTTCAAGAATATGCCGTGGTAGGTTTTGTTTATAAATTTTATTTTTTAATTCTTGTCTAATGACGATATTGATTTGTATTTGTGCGAAAATGTTAATTTATTTGTCGAGGGCATGAGCGGCTCTCTAGTCTTTGTATGTTACATGAAGCACAACATGAAAAAGAATAAATTAAAGGAAGGTAAAAACGGATCAGTCGCTGAAGGTCTAATCAGACCTTCGACACACATTTTGCAGTTTGTACTTGATAATGAGAATCCCATGAATCCTGTACAAAATTAAAAAAATGTTTCATTCAAACTACAAGTTTATTACTTTTCCGAGAACCAGCCTTTATCAGGACTTCCGCTCCCACGCTAGTCGGCAACATCAACTGTGCTATATGAAAACAATAAATCTTGAGTAAATATACTGTATGTTGAATTTTGAGGTTGTGGTGTTCCTTCGTAAGCACATTCGATTATAATCTAGGAATATGTAAATTTATTGTTATACGTTAACTTTATTGATATTCGATTCGCTACAGTACTATTAAACCTATAACATTTTCAATTCGTGTGCGTTGTATTTTAGAGTTGGGGAAACAAAATAAACCTGTGTACAACTTATTTATATGATATTCTCATTGGTTGCAGTTTAATAAGTGGTGTAGCAAAAACACAAACACAAAATTTATTGAAATAAAATTAAGTCAATGTTAAGTGAATACTATTAATAAACATATTTGCGACATAAGAACATTTAATTGAAGCCTAAAAAACAGTTCGAAAAAGGCATTCTATTCTTTATACTACTACAAATTAAAATGAGGGTATAAAAAATAGTTTTCAAAGATCATGTTGATCAATGTACATTCATCTAATCTTGAAAAAATAAGTATTTAAAAGCCCACTCCAAACATAATAGGTTGTTAAAAAAAGTCATCATTTTTCAAACCATGTAAACCTTATAGTTTTCCAACTATAGCCTTGTTTATTTTTTCTTTTAATGTTTATTTTTATTTTATGATGTTTCAATTTATGGTTCAAATATTCATAGTATATATATTTCTGAACAAGAACATACACCCATGTATATATAACTAATAAACGTTCCATAAGCATTTTACACGAGAGAACACTGTTCGGCAAGTAGCCGGTCATCGTAATCGGTCATCATGAAGGAGCTTGGACGTCGTGCAACAGCGCTGAGCTATATTGGACGTCGTGCAACAGTCAAATATTTATTGGACGTCGTGGCACTTGGACGTCATGCAACTGGCAGAGACTTTGGATGTCGTGCACATGTTACTTTTTTACAATCCTATAGTGCGCTGTTTCACGACGTCCAAGTGCCACGACGTCCAAAGCTTGTAGAAAGACTATATTTTTGGCAGTTACTGTACTTTTGGACGTCGTGGCACTTGGACGTCGTGCAACAACTCAAAAATGATGTTTTGGACGTCGTGGCACTGAATAAATATTATTGGACGTCGTGGCACTTGGACGTCGTGCAATGCATCCTTTTTGCCGATTTTATTTCACTTGGAATTTTGTTGTAAAATTTTGATCCGGTTTAACTTGGTTTTTTACTGTAAAGTTCTAATCTGTGGCGGTTTAAAGCAAATGTTGATTTTGTTCCTGGTATTGTAGTGGTGGTGTTCACCAGTTAATGCCAATTGAGAACGTTGTTTATAAAAAAAAAAAAAAAAAAAAAACTGTTTCATAGATGTACAATCCATATACTGTACTGTCATTACGATATTTTTAATGATCTAAAATGTCTTTTGGAGTATTTGAGTCAAGGTCCAAAATAATTCTTATAGCTCTTTTATGTAATTTTAGGATTGTTTCTAAGTTATTGATAGATGTAGCGCCATAATGAGATATCAAAAGAATTAAATTAAGTATGTACAAAAAGTATATTGATTTTAATGTTACTTGATTAAAAAGATGTTTTAATCTAGCTAAAGCAAATAGACCGGATACAGTTTTATCATAACTTTGTTTGCGTGAGAATTCCAAAGTTAGATTTTATCCATTTCAAGGCCAAAGAATTTAATATTTTGTATTTCTTGAATGGGTTTCTGATTAATGTCTAGTGAAGGATTAATTGAAAGTCTTGTCTGACGGGTCTCAAAATTTATGAACTTTGTTTTATCTGGATTCAAAAGTAACTGATTGTTTTGAAAAAAATTGGAAAGTATATCGAGATTAGCTTTAGCTGTCTTTTCAATTTCCTCTTCAGAATTAGTGGTAGATTTGCATCGTCTGCATAAAGGTATTTTTTTTAGATTTAGTCAGCCCAAGTTAGTAACAATGTTTGTGTCAACCAAATCAGTAAAATAATTATTGAATTGAAAAGCATTGATTGTTAATACGAACACTAGTAATATGGTTATCTGCTTTTGCCTTACAAACTTCAGTGTTACTAATTTGCCAATGGTTCATGTTATTTGAGTTGTTTATTTTATTATATTTTTTTTTTTGGAGCTGTAACTTTATTTCTAAACATTTTATTCTTCTGTCTTAGTTGTTTGTACATAGTGTTTTGTTTTTTAGGATTCTAGCATTATTAGCAAACTCAATAATTGATTGTTTTTCAATCTTTAGCTCTTCAAAAAACCACCTTCAATGTCTATATTTTCTACATAATTTCTTAGGAAAACACAACTCAAAATAGTACATAAAAAGTTTGTGAAACACATCATACTTTGACTCCGCAGGAGCAAAAAATACATCAAGCCAAGTTTCAAGGCTAAGTGCTTGAATAAAATTATCAATATTTTTAGTGCTAAAGTTCCTAGAGTATTCAAGAAACACAGCATTATCAGGACTATCATTTTTACCATTTATTACAAAGAGTTTACTATCATGGTCTGACAGGTGAGTATTGAATCCAATTACATTGAAATAGGCATAATTTATATTGGTAAAAATATTGACTATGGTTAATGACTGTATGTGGTTAATCCTCTACACCATTATCCCACCAAGCTTGTGGATCTACATCTGTAAATGAAGACCACTCAAACGACAATTTAAATTTGTTAACGCTGACGAATAAGTGTGTTGGATTGGAAAATCAGTTAATACAACAATATAACAATGAACTCAAGAAATCTCGCAAAGAAGACTACACTTAACAAAGATTGTTAAACAAGAACTAGACCAAAGTAAGTAGGAAATCAAAAATCTTCAGGCAGCAATTCAAATTGTACAAAACGAAAATAGAAAGTTAGAGGATGAAATAAAAAAGAATATCAGAAAGTGTCTACACTGTTATCCACCTTTAGGAAATCCATCCATAGATGGGGAAACTATTTGGATGGGGAAAATGTATTCTTCCTAAGTTTGTCTTAAATTAATGATTAATGAGTTTTTTGTTAGAAAATGTCAGATAGCTATTATTTGAGATTTCATAGATGACAATGTTGATCTTTTTCAAAAAGTTGGGATTGGCCTAGTTAAAGAGGCCTTAGCCGAATTTCAAAATTTTCGGTTAAAGATACGTAATATTATTAGACCTACTAAAATACAGATACAGTATCATAGCGCACGTTTTAGAGCAAAACTGTACAATAACTAATAGTGATGTGTCAGTACCTCAAAAGAATTCTTGATACTACCGGTTCATAGCATATCTATCAGTACCGAGAAATTATAGTAAAAATATCGGTTCCTGTACTTAGGTCTCCACAGGGTAGCCTATTGGCTATTTGACAATAAAGAGACAAAGCCGTATCAGATTTATAGGTTAAATCATAACCTGAATCAGATTATATAGTTTTATAACTTACTCAAAATAAACTAAACTATATTAAACGTATACATTATTTTCCGGATAACATTTTTTTGTATTTAGATTTGTGGGATTAGATATTTGGGATTTAATTTGGAATTCAACATCACTAGTTGCCAACAAATCTGCAAACAGTTTTGATGACTGATTTAATTCAAAATACAATTTTGTTTTCAAATAAAAAATCTGTTCATTTGAAACTAACCTGAATTGTAGAAATCTCATCATCCGATGGATCAGGCTCAGCACAGGATGGATCAGGCTCAGCATTGGATGGATCACGCTCAGCATTGGATGGATTAGGCTCAGCATGAGATGGATTAGTCTCAGCATTGGATGGATTAGGCTCAGCATGAGATGGATTAGGCTCAGCATTGGATGGATTACGCTCAGCATTGGATGGATCAGGCTCTGCATCGGATGGATTAGGCTCAGTGTCAGATGGATTAGGCTCATCATCGGATGGATTACGCTCAGCGTCGGATAGATTAGACTCAGTGTCAGATGGATTGGGCTCAGCATCCCGAGACTCTACTAAGTCTTGAACATTATCTTCAGGTTCCTCTGTGTCCGGTTCAGATTCTACTCTTACATCACTGTTAGGGTTTGCACTGTCTTTCAGAAGATCATCCACCAAGATGTTGAAATCCTGAAAATCATTAGATTTATGTAATTTTCAAGAGATGAAATACCTAGTTAGAACTAGTTAAATAGTTGGTGAAACTCTGCGTTGCCCGGGTCAAAATGCAATGCACAATACCCATGTAGCACAGATGGTTGGGCCAACGTTGGCCAACTGTGGGACAGTTGGTCGATGGTTGGTTGGAGCTTCCACAACCAACCAACCGTTGTCCAACTGTATATCTCGTAGTTGGGCCAACCAATATTTACAACTGTGGACCAACATCGGTTCATTGTTAATGAAATACATTAATATGCATTGTTGGGTATCATACATCAAGCCAACCGTTGTCCAACCGTTTTTCACTCCGTTGGACCAACAAAAGATACTTTTGTTGGACCAACGATGGTCCATAGTTGAGTTTACACGACTTTCATTCTCTGGGTCTAGCTTTCACAACATAATTATAATAAAATATCTGGTTTTACAATACCTTTATCAGTTCCAAAAGTTTCCAAAAGTTTTTGGAACTGATAAAGGTATTGTAAAACCAGATATTTTATATATTACAGTTCCGGGGCTACAACAATGAATTTTAATAATTATAATAATGCAAATATTTTTTAAATTAATATTCTTTAACTTATTTGCAACAATTTAAGGGGAAATAGTAATTAATCATATAACAGTCAATTATAATAGCATTAATAATCTAACTGTAATTAATTAATCTATATTCAAATACCAGTATCCTCTCTAACTCAAAAAAAAAAAAATTACTACTTATGATGCCTTAACAGATTAACAGAATCATATTATACTGTGTAGTATCAAAAATGTTTGAAGTATTGCGACCATTGCAACTGTCGGCTACTCTTTCACCACTTGAAAACTCTCTGTATCAACAATCACAGATAGCTCAGTGGTAAGGTAAGAGGCTCATAAGGCGAAGGACCCGGGTTCGAGACCCGTCTGGGCCAAAAAATTTTGTTCCAGCTTTTTTTCAAAATTTGTTTTTATGAACTATTTAATCAATTTACTCAACTAATAATTATGCTTTTCGTACTAAATCTTTATTATTTTGTGTGAAATAATTTTGGTTGGGCCATTGTTGGACAAAGGTTGGCTGGAAAACAGTTTAAAGAGGTGACATTTCTACCGTTGGCCAACTGTGTGGCTCCACAATTTACCAACGTTGGCCCAACCATCTGTGCTACATGGGTAATAACTCATTCGAAATCAACAATATAGCATCTAAGTGTCTAGGTATCACTCATTTCATATTAGCATAATTAATCTGAACTCTCCTTTTCATACTTCACCCACCTGCATTTTAATCCTCATAGTGTACTTGCATTGCAATATTTCATTCTGTATTCATTTTCTCTTGCATGATAACAAAATTCTTGAAACTCTAACCATTCGTTTGTAAAGTGTTATTGGCCTACTATGGCCATTCCTCTGCATATTTTTTTATTGCTCTTTAGTTTAAACCTTTTTGGCTTGTTGTAACTCTTTTACTTAACACGTTCACTGCTAAAGGAATTTATCAAATCAAATTGTATTGCTAAAAAACTTTATTGTTGTTTAACATTCCTTTTTTTGTCCTTATTGAAATACAATATTATACAATACGATCGGAAGTGAATATGACGTCAAAAAGTGACTTCATAGGCCCCTACTAATGGGTCAGTACTGACCCATCAGGAGCCAGAGTCAGAAAAAAATGGAAATGTCACTGAATACATTATATATGTCACTAAAAGTATATGTTCTAAAGACATATGTAGTCAATATCATAAAATAATCAACATAAAATAGTATATCAATTGATTGGAATTGATTATGACTACATAATGTGACGTCATATACATGGGTCAGTGCTGACCCATCAAGAACCGGAATAAAAAAAATTGAAATATTGAACAAAGATAAAAGGTTAATATTATTGAAATAAAATAGTTTAAAAGTTAATTGAAATTGAACATGACGTCATAAAGCACACAATAGTAGCACAGCGAGGGGCGTTCACAGTAACGTGGGTCAGTACCGACCCAGCCGCCTCGGCGGGAGCGAGACGCGGGAACCAACTCAACGGTGAACAAAGCAAGTCACACACTACACGCTAACGTGGTGTAGGTCCACCTTCGACCGACGCTAGGCTCACACTGAGCAAGAGATTGATGCACTGCAGTGTGGGTTAATATTGACCCGGCCGCATGAACGATGCGATCACCGTGGGTCAGTACTGACCCACCCGCAGCGAACGTGTTAAAACTCAAAAGCCGTTGTGGTTATTTTTCTGAGCATTCAATTCCTATAATATTTTGAGAATAATAATCTCTTGTCCTTAGGCTTTTTAAATCTCTTGATGACGCTTTTTGGATATAGGTACTCTGAAATATTTTAAGAAAAATCTAGAATTAGAACATTTTAGGAGAATCTGGGATATCCTATCTAAAACATTCTAGACCAACCATTATTACACATTTCCATAGTTAGAGAGATCGATCCAGATAAATCTGGTACTATATTGAAGAACTATTTTGAACATTTAGGTAAACACACACACAAATATTCAGAGAAATCTTGAACAATACACAACCTTTCTTTAATGATGTGATGTTTGGATGTGATAATGATGTTTTTGTTTGTTTTTAACCACTTTTAGACATTCAGAACATTTATAATGATATTCTCTTGAATGGACCATTACTGTATGCCTTTTAAGGTTTTTTCCTGGTTAAAACCCTTTCATAATCTTTACATATAAATAGAAGACTCTCAGTCTTACGAAAATGGATGGTTTTATTATAAGTTTTTGAAAGAAATACTCTTTCCAAATCTCTTTTAGCAAGTTTTCCAAATAGTGGTAAAATGCCTTTCTCTCCGCTGCCAAAAGTTTGACGGGGTTGACTACAGCAACCACCAGGACGGCGGGCTCGGACACTGTTCAGCAGGCAGATGCTACCCTTAGTGCTGCCTGACACTGTACTTGGGCGAGTTGCATCCTGTATACCTCCTTATTGAGAGCGTCTGCCCACACCTCCACACGGTACAAGAGTACGGACTGGACGGAAGACATTAATAGCCTTCTACAACTAGACCGCGGCCCTCCGACATTGACCATCAACCAACCATCTAAGAGAAGAAATCACCCTAGCGGCCTTTTCCGCTATACGGAAGATCTGATCCTGTCAGCTAAGCTTGCTGTCCACCAAAACCCCAAGGTACTTGGCAGAACAAACGGTTTGGACCTTGATGGCCCCCACCCTCAACGATAGTGTCAATCCGTTTTTTGCCAAAATCACGATCTCGGTTTTCTTAAAGCAAGCGAGAGGCCGTGGTCTGCCATCCATGCGTTTATGGTATGCATAACTCGGTTCAGCTTTAGCTGAGCCAGCCCAACGCTACGTGCAGCTATCAAAACTGCAACGTCATCTGCGTACCCAACCAATACAGTTTCCTCAGGCATTTCAGACCTCAGAAGGCTGTCATAAGTGACATTCTAGAGGTATGGTCCGAGTATAGAACCTTGGGCAGCACCAGAAGTGAAACTCATCTTCCGCGGGCCGTCCGTAGTGTCATACATGAGGAGGTGGAACCGGAGATAATGCTCTTTTATGCGCACGAGTGTTCTCACATTCCAGTATTTCACACCACCTCGCGGAATTAAATGGATTTCGCACATCGGCAAAAAAGACCTTCGACCAGGCAGGCATTGTGCATGCTCAAAAGGATCAAGGGGTTGGTAGTCAAAATCTTCTTGAGGACGCGTATATTTTAATTTTTAATTAGCCTAACTTAAGATTTGAAAGTTGCCATTGTTTTATGTTATTTAAGTTGACGTGAGCTGTTTTGAAAAACATGTTGTAATATGAAAAACGCTCAAGAGTAGACAATTTTCATTTAATTAATTTCATTTCATTTCGCCGGGTACCCCATTGGGTCTAGGAGCCTTATTGTTCTTCAGGGATAGGACGGCTGCCTCCATCCCTTCAGAGCTGAAAAGTGGGATGTTGTCCACCCTTCTGAAATCCCGCAGTGGGCAGGACGCAACGTGTGAGCCGGGAAAAGGGACTCGACTATTCTCTCCGTGGTGACCCCGTCCATGACGGAAGGTGGAGATCGGTTGCCAAGTTTCCTGGTTACAACTTTGTAACCCAGGCCCCATGGGTTGGAATGGACATCGTCCCTTAATGTCACCCAGCAACTGCATTTCGATTGATGGCTCGACGAAGAGACCTCCTAGCCACCCTATAAGGATCCGACTTACACGACGTATGTCAAGGGGTTCTCTAGCCCTGGTAGCAAGTCTTCTGGCTCTCAATGCTGCTCGATACAATTCCGCAATCTCGGCAGTCCACCAGTAAAACTATATACACGCTTATTGCACCGGTATCTCCTACGAGGCATAGACTCATTGTAGGCCGAGACAATCAGTTCCATCGTGGATGAAACTAACGCCTCTGCATGAGCCACGCCAGTTAGCGAGAGGTTTTAATGTTAAATCTTACGGACACTTGACGAAACGCGGCTATTTGTCACTGATGACCATCCAGGACATTAAAAATTATACAATGGTGGTCACTGGCCGTGTAATCCTCCAGGACTCTCCAGGCTCTGATCCTCGGCAAAAGGGACTCAGATGCAAGGGTAATGTCTGGGATCGTACCCCGCATCCCAGGGTGGTGGAAAGTTGGCGTGTTGCCCTCGTTGACGAAGAGTCTGGTGAATGATTTGTAGAGAATGAAATTAAATATTAAGGAATTATTGAGAAAGGGGAATAGAAATGAGAAAGGTTTTAATGAGAATTAGTTCGAAGGACCAGAGGTAAGAAATGTAGAGAAATGGAAATACAGTTGAACCTCTATAAGACGAATTTCAAGGGGTACGGGAAAAATTCGTACTATAGAGGTATTCTTAATAAAGAGGGTCGTTTTATCGAGGTTTAATACTGCTGTTATTCTTCTTATAGAGGTTTCTCCTCGCTCTAAGATAACCTCTATAAAACGAAGATGTCTATG